TAAATAAAAATAAATAAATAAATAGATAATTAAACCAATAATGAAATTGATAAAACAACACAAACTCATATTCAGTTCATTTCTATGTGTACATAAGTTAGGTTGTTTACATGTTTGATGTTTATGTGTACTGCTACCTTCTGTCAGCCTTGTACTTTCACCAGCTGCATTATTTTGCATTATTTAGCTGTGCTGATGGCTAGTTCACATCTTGCATAGTGTTACTGATTTTGGGGCACAGATAACTAAGAGAAACTGTGCCTTATTAACAGCAAAAAACCCCACACCTAAGCTGCACATGTAAAGAAGCAAAAAATATAGATCTAGACTCCATTCAAAAACAAAACAAAAACAAAGCAAAACAAAAAAAACTGAAAAAAACACACAAAAAACAACCCTACAGAAAAAAGAATAAAACTGCTTGCTTGCTTGATTCAAGGTGGAAAGGCTGAGCCAAAGGATGTCAAATCCTCAGACTGAAAATAAAAATGGAGATAATGGGGTAAGCAAGCTTGCAGTACAGACCTGGCTTTCAGAGGAGCAGTGAGCTGGTAGAGGAAGATCAGAAAAATCTCTCTGCTGCAAAAAGTCAGGCGAGTTAACAGGGAGGTTGGCTGCAGTAACCAGTTTTGTTTAAACTTGGACACTGGAAAGCAAGCAGCTGTAAAGATCAGAGTTAGCTTAGGTGATTAATTTTAATGCTTGCACATAGCCTCAGAGAAAATTGCTTCTACACGCATTTGTCTGACGTCTACTCTTCTTGTTTTGACTGGAGAGGACATGGGTTAGAACTTGCTTGGTAAATAAAGTTTAGCATTGCAGCACCATACACAGGTATTCATGAATTGTTTGTTCTCACATCAAACACTGTTCACAACAAAAGGAAAGAAGGGAAAATATGAGATGACATTTGGCAGGACGGGCCCTATGATGTCAAAAGATGTAAACCCACTCTCAGTCTGCGTAGAAAGGGTTCACTCATTTTGAAGCCCACATTTCCCAGCCTGTTTATACAGTTGATTTCTAAGCCTTGGAGAGATGGTGAGCATCTTCCCTAGGAAAAGCCTGCCCAATAGGCTGCATTCACTGGCATCCAATTCTAATCTTTTTATCAGCTCCTTCCCTGTTATCAAATAATACTGAAATAAATTGCTTCAATGATAACAGGAAAAATACATAATAAAAAGCAAAGACTTGGCTAATAGAAAACAATATTATTATGTAGAAGTAACCATGTAAGTTGTCATTAACTCTAAAGCCCATAAAATTGCATAAATATCTCAATTAGATCACCTCTCCCGATTATATAATAAGACAGCATAAAGAGCTTAATTTTAATCTGACAAGTCTGAATACTGCTCCTCTTTTTAAAATGCTTTTAAAAAAAATCACATTTCCTCCGGATACTTGACTTGCAAGCACTCTGAAGACATCATGTACAAAATTAAAAATAAACTTTCTCATTTTCCTACCAGTGTTGCTTATCACTACCACAGTTTCCACAACTTTTTCTTTATAAAGAAATTAACTTACACAAGCATCTTCTTCCCCTGACAATGGGTGCAATGCCATTTGCTTCACTTCTAAAGGCTGAATATATACGTTTCTAGTTACCCTAACTTCTTGATTAATTTGTAGCAGTCTTCAGTTCTGGGACTGTGAGAAAAAATTCTAATCCCATCATTAATAAGAAATACTACAAAGAAAAAGCTTGCTTCGCCAATATGTGATAAAAAGTTCAACCTTTTATTATCAGTTGCAAGGTGAAGATACATGCAATTACTGCAACTATTTACTGAAAACACATTTGCTAATTCTGTGAGTGACATACTGTGCTGGGTGCTGGCTTGTGCCAAGGCAGCTGCCAAAAGCTCTGACTCCAAAAAGGGGAAAGGAGAGGATTAAAGTATTATTCCTGTTTCCAAGAATAAAGTACTGTAAATGAGCTAGTCACTTGCTAGGTAATAATCTTCTGGTGTTTATATGGTAAACTTCTGCAAAGTGAATTGCTGTTGGCATCATTGGAGTTTACAAAGGAAAAGTACTTGCCAAGAGGCAGCTTCACTGGAAGTATATCACTTCAAGTAAACATGTAATGGAAAGTCATTAAGCGAAATGAACAACAGCTAATTTCACTGTGATCGTATCAGGAACATTAAGTATTTTTGTTTAAACTTCAGAATCTGAGGTACAAAAGAGCACACAGAGATCATGCAAAAGTTAGCAGCACATAGAGCAAAGCCCTGACTATCGTTCGTGTAGGAATGGGGTTATTTTTGCCAACTGAAAAGAATAACATGTCTCCAAGGCACACTGTTTTTACTAATACTGTCAAAGAATTTATCTTTAGTCTAGATACACATGAATACATATGCACTGAGTGTTCAAAATCACACTTCTCTATTTTAATTTCTTCCGTGGATAAAACAGCAAAAAGAATGTACACATCAAAATAGTTCAATAATTGGTTTACTTTCTCAAGTCCCTCTGCCCAGAAATCTACTTCTGTAGCTAGGATAGATGGGATCAGCCAACAAAACATCTGCACAATAAGTAAGCAGAAGAAACTCCACGTTTCCAAGTATTTTCCCAATACTACAAGATGTGAAAAGGAGACTCTGTCCTCAGTTACATACATTTCATAAGTACTGGAATCTAGCATGCTGAAAAAAAGTTCACAGGTTCACTGTCTGGTAACAGATGCTCATGAGATATTTTGTAACCAGAGTTTTCTTATGCCAAAATCAGTCTACAGGAATTGGGAAATCTTCCCCCCCAACCACTCCCCCCTCCCATCGGCTACTATGTCAGGCCAGTCTGGGATATCTTTCAGGTAACTTCTGAACACCAACATACTGATGAAATTGCCAGTATCAAACCAGATTATAAAATAATAAATTTTGAAGCTTGTTTTTTGTTCTACAAATCTCAAAATTTAAATTACATGGAAGGTTTCTCATGTTCTTTGTTTCAAAAACATGCAATGTAATGCTGACAGCTGATATTGCTACTTTATTTTCCTTTTTCTATTAAGCTTTTAAAATACAGTTCCTATACAATGGCATTTTTCAAAACTTCCTCAATTTGCAAAGTGTAAAACTGCAACACAAACCCTTGAAAATACTGAAATTTCCTTCCAAGAAGTAAAATATGTTACTTTTTGTGTTTGTTTTTATTTTCAAAAATCTGGACACCATTCATCCCACTGTATTTTGCTGATAAAAAGAAATAAAGGCAAATGAATGACAAGTTGAGTATTTAGTCCTTAGAACATTTCTATAATCTTGTGTGCTTATGAAGAAAAAAGGTGATGCCTTTTGAGGGGAGAAGGGGCTTAAATAAATCTAGCAAAAAACATCTTCCACCCATTTAATTCTGTTGTTTTGTGTAAGCACAACAGAAAGGAAGACTATTGAAGCAACTGATATCACAGAATATGACTATGAAATTTTTAATGTTTTAACTCTGCCTAAGATTGAAAGATTGGAAAAAAAAATAAATTCAGCTATGAAACCCACGTATTTTCAGCATATTTCTACCTTGGTTCATAACTATTATAATATTTTAAACCAGTAGGTGATTTAATTATGTAGTAAGTTTTCTTTCACTAACCTTTGTTTTTGCTTCCCTATGATATGTTTCTACTTTCAGACATTTTCAGGGATTAAAATTATAACACACTGACTTTAAAACTTGTAATTCTTCAGTCAGCATGAACATGCCTTTTTGAATGAAAAGTGTTTCTTATTACAGAACTTTCCTAATTTAAAATGTAATTTATATTCAGATTTTAATTAAACTGGCATCTGTTTGAGCTGCTGCTTAAGAAAAATAATGTATTACAATGGTCTATGTTATCATATATAGCATTATTCAAAACCACTGTAAACTAATACACACATTCATTTGTAGTATGGTGCATTACTGAGCGTCCTCAAATATTGTGCTTAAAAAAAAGAATGGTTGTGTAACACGGTACACACATCAAGTGCATAATGATTGACAGACGAAAAAACAAGGGAGAAAACGTTTACTTAATAACATCTTAAGTGTGATCTGCACCCCACTGACTCCAGGATTTGAAGTGACAGCCCATCAAACTTCAGGAAAACTCCAAGTCAGTATATATGACTTTGAGGGCCTAAGGTGGCTGGGACAAGAGTGTCTGAGGGACAGAGGGGGTGACTGGAAGGGCAGACTTAGCAGGGTTCAGGGTTCCAGAGCTTGCTTATTTTGCCTGAAATAGCTCAAATGTGGTAACCTAGGTATGTTTTGTAACTCCATTTTGCAGAGTTTTAGGTAAAATGTTAATCTATTTAACAAATTAATCACAATTCAAGAGAACTTTCTTCCACATAAATAGTTTCTGAGATTTTTAGGCAGACCTTCAATTATTCTGAAATTAAAACAACATATACAGACATACTAATGACAATAATCTTTGGTTGCACAGACAGGTATTTACCCAATTGCTATAAATGTTGAATACTAAGGGAAGACGCCCCCAAAAAGTGTTACAAATTAATCACCAAAACACTTTAATTTTCACCTACATTCTCTACACCATTATATGTCCATAGCACACCATGTATACCAAGACCTTCTGCTTTAATAAACTTATTTTAGACATAACTTCATTTCTTTTTCCTAGTCGCACAAGTGGTGAACTTCAGCTCCCCCCTATGCCTCAGGGTCACCAAATTAAGGTTTCCACTACCAGCATGTTTCCACTCCTTCCATATCCTAGTATTTTCCAAAGGACTTTTACTGAGAGCAAGACAGGCTTTGCAGTCTTTCAGTCTTACTCTTCATATGTGCCTGATACTACTGTGTTTCTTCTGGGACACCTTTTTTTTTTTTTTTCCTTTCCCTCTGGAGATCCACCCTCTCTAGAGAATAGAGTCAAATCTTGATCAGAGACTACAGGACAATCATCCCAAGTGAACAGTGGCCCTCAGAGACTACATTTCTTTTCAAAGGGGACAGAGAGTAGCACTTACCCTGCTGACTTCTTTAGGAGTCGATTCATCTAAGAGGAAACAAAACAAAAAATTAGGCACTCAGGGCAGTTTCTAGACTGAATGAAGAACAAGAAACCACAGGTCAAACAATTTTTGCACCTTTGTACAGAGTTTTGTAACATGGTTCAATAAAGTACTTGAAATTTTCTTAGACTGGTGTACATTTACAGTCTTTAAAATTCTAAACCTAAAAATTAATTAAAATCAGGGTAAAGTATTCAGTAATTCTGTTCTGACTTTATAAAACCACAAAATTTCTTATACTTCAAGTCTTACAAGTCAATTCACAAGGCAGATAAACCAGTAAGCCCTATATCATTCTCCTACTTTCATATTCCAATTAAGTAAGCCAATTGTTAGCACTGCACTGCCTGAGAAATAAAGGTCCTTTGCTACCAAATACATGCCACCAACATTTTCAATATATGACCAAGTTTGTGAGTAGACTTCAGTATTTCTGTTCTGAATGTAAAACTATTCGTGCTGACTTCTGTAGGTGTGAAAAAAAAAGCTTTGCAACCATAAAAACAGAAGAGCATCACTGATGTGATCTGGCAGAACACATTGAAAATACATAGAGTAAAAGGTTTTATATTTTTTAATCTATTATATAAAACACTATAAAGCTTTTTCCTTCAAATGCAAGCAATCTCATACATTTTTTTTCTAATTTAAATATGTAAAAATAAACACAGTTACAATAACAGAACACTAGCTAAATACTCAGTAGTATTTCTGAAAATAAAAACAGTTATACCACAAGAATGCATCTGCCACAGGAAGAGTTTCCAACTTTTAGTTTAAGCACACCAAAAAGCAGCTTAAGCACACACTTACAAACCTCCAGTTGGTTACCTGTTTCTGAAAACATTTAAACATTTAAACTTTTAATTTGATACTAGGAATCATATTAGTATGCTTTGGAAATAAATTTTAAGTCAGCAAGTTGAATCAGTCTCACAGAGAAAGATCATATGCTTATATTTCCGGCCTTTAGTTTACACATATTTTGATACATCTCTGTTAAGTGGATCTTTAGATACCTCTGTCAGATATAGACAAAGTAACATTTAGGCTGCTTAATAGCAGATAACACTACATTTTTTCAAAAACACACCCAGGTAAAGGAGAGATCTTAAGATGCCCTTTGAGAAGTGCACATTTACAAGTATTTCAATGTTATTACCAGCAAAGGTTCTTATATCTTGACATTTAAGATGAAATTTTAAACAATCCAGCTACAAAATAAAAACAACAAACCAAAAACATTTTCTAGAAACAAGATTGAAAACCCACTTTACAATGAAAGAAGTATTAATAATCATACAGGTTTCTCCTCAAAATCGAGTGGCACCAAGTAAAATAATATATTGCACAACTAGGAGTGAATATTAGTCTTCTCTTACTCTCAATCAAATGATATAGCAGTAATTTACACATGTAGAACACAGTCATAAACTTAATTGAGCTATTTAAGGTAGTTCTGCTGTTTGAAAGATAATGTATAAAAATACTTGGCAATGTTCAGTGATGTTATCTTCCTTGACCAAACAAATCTACATACCAAATAAAAGAGTAGCCAAAACTAGACTCCATCTCCCCTACTACCTGATTTCTGACAGTGAGTAACAGAAGATGTGGACAATAGAAAGCCAAATCTTGGTATAATGATGCTTTCCCTGGAGCACTCTCAGTTTTCAGCAACCAATAGACCAAACATTTCTTGAATCAGTGGTGATACTTTTTTTCTGTTTGAAAGATAAAGATGGGATTTTCTTCCTCATGCTTCCAGGGGATAGGAGGTTAGATTGTGCTTGTTTTCTTTTAAACTGGAGCCACCATCCTTTTGCATTCACAATATTCTCTGAGATCCATGATTTAAATACACATTATGAGAAAAAATGTCTCTATTTTGAATCTGCATGTTATTAATGTCATCTGATGCCCTCTATTCACGTTATCTATGGAGCCTGTGATTCTAGAAATCTCTCAAACAAGCCCTTCTCAGCTTCACAACCCATCAAACCTTTCCTGGCTTGAGAAGTCTCATTTTTCAAATTAACTTCAACCCCCCATCCTCTTACCCAAAATGTGTGTGTGAATATACATACATACATACATATATATATACACACACACATATGTATGGCTTCCACACCAGCGCAAGACACAACTGGCACTGCAATTTCCAATGATAGAAACAGGACAGATTAAATGCATCAAATCTAAACCTTACTACACAGTATAAAAATCTACATAATCTCTATTGAGCCACAAATTAAAAAAAAAATAAATTAAAAATCAGTGCTCCAGTAGTAGAAAGGGAAATTAATAAGTTCTCATGCTTTTGAGATCTTTGACAAAGCAGTTGCATAGTCTAAGCAGGATGATACAAATGCCATCAACCCAACATGAAACTCTCCACACATACACAATACTGTGCTTTATTTTATATAACATAAGATACACAGGTACATACAATACTTCCCTTATGACTAGCTTCTGTGAGCTAAATACAAGGGAAAATCACAGAAACAGCAGCTTTTCCCAGAAATTATTCTAATGGCCAAAATACAGGCTTAGTTAACCTATTAAATTAACAGGGGGCTGATGAAAACGACCTTGATTTTGCATCCTCCTCTTTATTTAAAAGCCCTGAATTCTGTTCATTAAAAGGTAGAAACACACCAATCTCGTTTGCACTTGTTTGCAAATCAAGTTCCATCCCTGTAAAATATGAAGCTTTTAAAGAAACAGATTAACCATTAAAGTAAATTCAGAGACATTAGGTACAACAATAAATAGCAGCTTGCAATAGAGTTAAATATCACAGGAAAGTTCTCAATTACAAAGGACCCCATTTATCATGGTATACTGTGTGGGAAAACTGCCAGACAGGGGGCAAGTATCTTCTTAGTGTTTGCACTGAGGGAAATAAATACCCTGGGAGAAAGCAAGTGTTTGTGAAAGACATCATACAAATGTTCCAGCCACTAGAAACTTTACAGTTGGGAGTCCACTTTTTGTTTAGATATCAAATATAACTAATTGTGATACATGAGTGTCTCTATCTCAATCCCATTTGTTGGTAGAATTGCCATTCACAGAACTTAGAAGGATCATGTTAACACACCTATATTATTTAGTTCTGGTACTTCAAATATGCCAACATTATTCTTAAGTTTCAAAAATAAAGTGATGAACTCCTGAAAAGAAATCAATACACATGCATATAATAACTTGGCTGAACTGGTCAATCAAGGCTGCTGCAAGCTGTGTTTTTAACATGATTTGCAATGTGGCCTGATGCACAGTGAAATAGGTAGTCAGCAACAGTGCAGTGGGAGCAACTATAAAGAGCACATGACCAAGCAAGTGGTAATTTTGTCCTCCAGAAGCACTAGGCATGCAACAGTAATCTAGCAGAGCTCCTTTTTTTAGTTGATGCTATAAACTCCTTTTTATTAATGTCTTGTTAATTTGAACATAAAAATGCACTGACACAAAAAGGGGAAAAAGAGGAAACTGTGGGGAATGGATCTAAATTTCAAGAGTTTCCCCACCTTTGTACATCAAGTTTGCAGACCAAAACCCTCATACTAATGATAATATTCTTCTACTTCACAGTGAGCTGGGTTCAGCTCACTACATGTGTAGAAAATGGCTCACTTTCTAAACTTTCAAAACCAGGTCATTACCCTAGACCACAAGAATCAAGTTAGACTCAGCTTTATCTTTACAAATTTGCAAACATTACCATCTACAAAGCTCTCTTCAGACTTTAGTGACATCAAGATGAGGCATGGAAGAATGAGAAGAATTCTGTGATAAGATTTTAATTTTAAGAACAAATTCACAATTTAACAGACTTTAGTATCTCACCTTTACTACCAATACAATTCTAATTAACCATTGCACAGTGCACTACAGAAATGCATAATAATTGGTATGTCAATGAAAGACAACATCCATCTAGGAAAACTTCCATACTAAACCAAGACAAGCAAGATAGGAAGAAGTAGAAAGAAGAAAGGGAACAGATAAACAAACCACACCACAGAAGATTTGGCTTTTGGCACAGTACAAACGGAGCAAGGTTTGGTATATAGTACCATATAAACAAGGCTTGGTTTAGTTTGGTTTGGGGTTCTCTTTTTTGGGGTGTGTGTGAAAAGGAGTTAAATTGTGTAATAATTAATTTAATATGAAAAATTAATATTTTATTTTGCAGATTATAACAATGATTTTGTACTTGTATTTCTATGTATGCTTTTTTTGTTAAAAAAAAAAAGCAAGATGCTAAGCTACAGTAGTCACAAAGACAACTTTAACACAAAAGAAGCTTTCAACATCTCAGATATTATGTTCTGACACATTTATCAAGGAAGCAATAATTCTAAAGCCCAGTTATTTTTATTACAGGAACTCTTTCAAAAAAAACAATATTGCACTTTCTCTTTGGTTTTAAACTGTTCTTTGTTCTGTGTAGTTAAATACTATGGCTGGTCCATCACTGCTATTGATGACAGCAACTAAATGCTTAGGATTAATTCTATTTATGAGATCCCAGATAGCTGCAGAGTCACATTTTCCCAAGGAACGTTTTCCCACACAGCAGATGTCAGATTGACCTAATAATTTTTCTTTTCAAAATTTGCTCTAGGCTCCTTTTCCCTCAGTTAATAAGACACAAGTTGTTTGGAATGCAATTAGACCAGCATAAATATCTTTGCTGCTTTTTTCTCTTGAGGAGCGTCATACACACACATCAATAGAAATTCCACATCAGTAAGACTTGATTGGTTAAAGATTGATTTCATCACCATGAAACAAAGGTTACTAGGTTTAATTTATTTCTGTGATACAATAGCATTAATCAGATCAGTTGGTCAGTCTATTTTAACTGTAATTTGCATCTTTATTTTAGACACCTTGCATCTAGCAGCTTATGCTAAATTTGTAAGATCTTTCAAAGACACCTTAGTTGAAGGTGAGTTTTCTAAAGTGG